GAATTCGTCGATTCGTCACTCGCAGCCTAAAGTTGGTTTCATCACACCGCCTCCGACTATTTCACTTTCTTTTTTATTTATTTTCTTTTTTTTAACTGATCGACCCCCCCCCCACACACACACACACGCAGCAAACTTTTCTGCCTTGGCAGATGCGCCGCATACTCACCCGTCCTCGGCGTGCAGGGGCAGCGGGGGCGGCAGCGGCGCGGGCGGCGACGGTGGCGCCATCGCCGCGTCTGCGGCAGCGCACCACGGACGTCAGAGCTCAGCGGCGGGGAAGAGCGCGACAGGGGAGCATCGAACCGGTCCCGCCCCGCGCCAACTCGACATTGCCTTTTCCTGCGCGAAACTGAGCTACGACTCGCTAACTTACAATTATTTTTTTGTGTTTGAATTAATACGTTGCAATTTTGGTTGATGGCTATGCTCATTTATCCCGTAAGTGTAGCACGTGGTTTTTATGGGAGATGGTAGAGTTCTTCCATCGCTGGATGGCGAAATCCGGTGCTGACCCGTCAGCTTGCAGGTTTTCCTCGTCTATATATCGCCTACTTGGCGGGACAAGTTCTAAGCTCCCGACATGTGTGATAGTGTATTGAATGTAAGTGTGTGTGTGTATGTGTAAGGGCAGAGGGAGAGTAAAAGAAAGGGAGGAAAAAGCGTGCGTGATCCGTGACCCGTTTGTAGGATGCTACTCCGGCTCGCTTGGCATTGACTAGACAAACCACGGTAAATAACCGATTAGAGCAGTCGACCGCTGGAATTCTCCTATAGACAGAGGGTGAATTTGACGTAGCTATCTAGGTAGTGTTGAAAATCCTGCAACCGTCGGGACTCGAAACCTAATACTTCCCGATCAAAGGAACGGAAAAGATATCAGTTGATGCCCTAAGTCTTTTGAGTTGATGATTGCAATTTTAATGTTGCGATTTTTTAATTGATTCTGTGTTTTATTCACGATGAAGTTAAATGTATAATTTTTAATACTAGTTACGAGATGTAAAGAAATTTTATTTCTACAAGGTGAGAAAGTACATGCGATAAAATGCAGAAATACCCCCTCTTACTTCAATGCAGTACTACCGCAGCAACACGACTTTAGATAACAGCAATAAATCATTATAAATCAATCAATCTACTTGCGAAGATCGGTGAGACTGTTCGTACTGTCTTATTATCAAGCCTGCGAGACCATGGAGTTAGACCACATGAATGAGTACAGAACGAATAAGTTTAAACGTGGATAATACTTACGACCATTATATAATGAACTTTGGTTAATGAGGCTTGTACAGTGGAAAGAATCAGATTATATAGTTGTTTGCCAATGTTTCGGAAAATATATTTCCATCATCAGGGGTATAAAGTATAAGATTGAAAAAGAAATCAATAACTTCGTGTTAATTTCCACTTAAACCAACTCTATCTTACAAAATTTATGTAAAATTGAAGGAAAAAAAGAATTTAATTACAAAACTTTGCAACTACAAAACTAAGGTATAGGAATTATATTTTATTAATTGTTTGCATTTGTTTTATTGTGATTGTATGAAGATACTGACGGAAGAATGTTTCGTCGACATACATTTGTGGTTCCTTACGTTTCCCGCCTGACCAAGACATCGTCCATCAATGAAAATCTCTTCTGAGCAGTTTATATTTTTTAATTGTAATTCTTTAAGTTTGCAGCCGATATCTCACTCAGTGTCATGGACAGGGGTACTACATAAGTTGGATAAGGCGCGTGGAATCTCGTGCGAAGGACTATGTCTTAAAGGAGTTAGACCATTCGTACCCAGCGACGTATGGGCACTCGGCGACTTCTATCACTTATCAGAACTGACGAAAAAACTTCGGGAAAAAACATAGTAAACGAGTGTAAGGTGGAAGACGTATTTGCTGGCCATTTTTCGAACAAAAATTAGGCGTATTTTTTGAAAGGCCTAGAAATGTTAAAATACAGATAGGGTTAGGGTAAAGGATGATTAAGTCGAAATAAAAATATTTTTTTCTTTTCATAAAACAGAAAGTAGTGAGGCCAAACACGTATGGACCACCTACAGACGACAGTGACCACGTACCAATCGCGTCTCCGGAGAGTACTTTAAATTCTAGTATAAAAGAGAGGGACAAGAGACATGGAGGAAATTTTTTAAGGGCCAACTATGACCCTCAAATGTTTCACGAAAAGGGTAGAATGAGAACTCAGGGTGAGCGTTATCACTTGTACAAGTTACAAATTAAAAATTGTTTCTTGTTATGAACACAAATTGTTATAATCACAAATTAATTTCTTATTGTGAACCACCATTCTAAGAAATATTAAACTACCATCCGTGACTATTCATTTATAATATAAGACTAAGGGATAAATATATTTTGTAAATAATCAACACAAAACTTAATCAACATTACTGCCTGTAGAAGGAAAAAGTATTCACAGAAGTCACTCACAGTGCTGGAATTTATGGTGTGCAGAACAATAAATCATAGAGTGCCTTCTTGAAACGTTAATCATCATTGCGGGAATTCTAATGCCTTCTTCGGCCGCTGCGTTGGTGTAACAGTTATCAGATCTATGGTTGTAAATATTTGTTGCACCTAAATTTGCAAATTTGCTGATTGAGTTCAAACTCAATCAAAGACGTGGATTTTTAAAAGTGATTAACATCCTTCGTTTGGGAGGGGAGGGCGAAGTGAAGCCTAATGTCCCATATTACGGGTTAACTGTATACTATAAATAATCCTCAAGCCGAAAGCTTTTAAGCTAAAATCTATTCATTTGTTTTAAATCATCTGAGTGATATCTTTCTCTACTAGATGGTGGCTAGAGCATAGCGAAATATGAGTATACAGGGGAAAGAGCAGGCTTAATTGTTTGAGACTCGTCACGTAAAATAAGGCTTCATCATCTGAACTCCATTATTTGCTTACAGTTTCTCCCATTCCCCGGGGTTAATGGTGATCCCATAAGAGTGAGTATATTGCCTGCATCAAGTTCGAAACTGCTGATAACCTATGGTACGTATATATATTTTAGAACAATGAAGTAATGCATGTTTCTTTAACCTCTTCTTCTCGATTTTCAAGTAGTTTTAAATCGCGATCAGACATCGGAAAATATTTATGACCCCGAATGAATAGTCTCTTGATATTTGCCTTCGGTGTAAAGTCAATTTTGCGGTGTCCAACAACAATTTTTGAAATCGGTTCAGAATTGCCAAACTGACTCGACAGTCGTAAATGTATCACAATACGAATTTTTAATTAAAAGACAAGTTCTACACGGATGGAACATGATCTGTTGGCATGGTATCCATTAAAATAACTTCATGTAATGTCCGTTTAGGATGTTGGGTTATTATTTTTGTCTCTGTATGTAATTTTTACTTTTTTACTTGTAATTAATAAATCTCTTAGTGATAAAATGGATTGAATTGTGTTCGTAAGGAAATTATTCTTCTAATTATTTGAATGCATTTATATAACATACATTGTTAAAGTACATCATAATCAAAAATGAAATTGAAGAACCAAATGTTAATTGTCTCCATGAAATCGTAATTGAGCATTGTTCGTGGACACTCGTACAGATGTTTATGGGAAATGGGTCTTCGGTGAAGACCCATATTGACGTCGTTACATGCTTGTAAGAAAGCAATTTGTCGAAACTGTCAATTACAATAAATATTGTACATAGAACAAAGAATATTAAATACTAACATGCACATTAGTTTTAAAACTGACGGAATGACTCCATTAAACTATAAAAAATGAACCTTCGAACACTAAGTCGCATGACTTACGATGAAGTAATACGTTGAGAGACACGCTTTTGTCTTCGGTTCACGGATTGGTTCCGGTTCGATGCTCATGGAGAAAGGAAGGGAGAGTGACATATTTTCGCAACGGAACATTAGTGATTACATGTATTGCAATAGTCGAAGACAAGTATTGATAATAAAAACAGACTGAAATGAGTCATTGAGGAAATGGACGCACTATACGTCATCTTCAATAAACTTTCCCCCATTATCAAAACACTTTCTCTCGTTATCGTCGAGCGAATGAATTTGACAGAGAAAGTTACTTCTACCAAAAGGTTACTCAAGAAGATTCGTCTCTAGGAACACTACTGAGGTAACATTTATTCGGGAATAGGCTTCAGATATTCCACAAATGCCAGTTCTTTTTATTCCTAATCATTCATTTGTATCCATGCATTTGTATTCATTTGTATCGTTGCATTCATAATCCTTTCGTTCGGATAGAGAATGAAACCTTGATTGAGAAAGCTTTTGAGAATTACATATATAACTGCTTTTCTCAAATTAGGCAGTTAAAATCGCTAACTAAATTATCTTCTTCCAACCAACAAAATTAAAAAAAAATTATTTCCGCACAAATCAATATTATGTACTCCAAATAAAGACTGAAGTACTAGCATTCGGAGAATAGTCAATATGCCAACAAACTAATTATATTTACGATGAAACTTTAATGCACAATTTCAAAATACCACTTTATTTTTGTTAATTAAGAATTTCTTTAGAATAAAATATACAAAATGTGAGCGTTCCATGATTTATGGATTTCTCAGAAAGAAGTTTAAGTTCTTTGACAAATCCAAGATCCAATCTGCTAAGAACAGCGTCGTGCACAACCGTTCACATCTCAACACTACATGTGAAGTAACAACTCGTGCATACTAACATAATACACTTAAGTGGTTCATATAATGGAAGAGATGAATAATACTGACTGAAACCAGTCATTTTCCGTTGAAAATTGCAAAATTTATTGAATAAATTTACGTTTTGAACTAAGCAATATACCAAATATTCATCATTACAAATGTATACTGCAATTTTCAAAAACAACCGTGTGATAGTACATGACATTAAACCACATCTTCTCTCACGTGTTGATGTTAACTATAAAAAATGAAATTAAACACAGTTACTTGCTTATTTTGGAACAAATTTGAATTGAAATGAGTTACTTGTTTCAAATAATTAAAGTTTACGATATTAAAACGTTTATCCTTTTTTCATTTAAGTAAAATATCAAGTAGTAAAGAGATGACTAGAAAATTACCACTGTGTTCTTTTGCCTATCAGTCAGCATGATTAAGTTTTGTTTAGCTTCCAAAGGCGTTGAATAAAAGTAAAGGAAATAATTAGAGTGTCGTGAAAAATGTAGAAACAGTACTTTGAAACGTGAGAAGTGATGTGGCAGTAAAAAATGGAAAAATGATTACGAACATCAATAATTTGTTCAAAATAAATGAAAATATTATAGCCATGCATCTTGAGTTGCAGAACGTACAGAGAAATGCATGAGTGGTAATACGAAATAGAAATATAACAGAAAGTTCTTGATTTTTGAAGGTTTTATTGTGTTTTTTAAATCTTTAAAGTTAGGCAGTGACATTTTATTAATAAAGGTTCACAATAACGAATGAAATGTGGTGCACTAAATTACTCAAATACACACATAACAATCAATAACATAAATAATAAATTAATTTCCACAATTACTATTTATTAATTTTTTCTAGAAATTCTAGACGAATGCACTGCGTCTTGGAAGGGACGCTGAAAAACCTACGTCAATGGCAAATAAAATTTTATAGTCTGTGTTTAAGAGCATATAGGTATAATTTTAAGTTGCATAAATTAGATTTCAGAATCAGAAATTAGCATCCATTATGGGGAGTGAAGATGGAGGTTATCCCGAGACGTCAACTCTTTAACATGTTTAAGAATAAAGAATTAAGTAAAAAGAAGATAGATGTCAAACAGTACACGTAAAATAGCATTCATTGTATTGCAGTGTCTAAATTGAATGATCTGTTTTCAAGGAAAGTAAACAATTTCAGAATTAATTTCTCTTTAACAAAACTAGTGGGAATGCGAATTACATCGAAACTTTTCTTTCTTTTAGTGCCGTTTGCTATTAGTAAATAATTACTCTCTCTTTTTAAAATCTAATATTGAGGCATAAATTGCATTGATAAATAAATTTCAGGCTTTAATATTGGAAGTACAGAACAATTTTGCAAATACATTTGAACGTTGTAAATTTGAAATTTTCATAGCTTTTGATGAAGTTGGAATTTTAATGTTATTATAAATCCACTTTATTCTATTAGAGCAAAAAATTAAAGAAAAGCATTCCTACAATTTTTCGTTAAAAAAAGGAAAATGTTACTGCGGATTCCTGTAAAAAGCCATTCAAAATAATCTTCGGAATAGCACATCTATATTTTACTTGTGACGTATTAACCAAGTTTCAGCTCAAAAGCTTGTGTGACAGAGTAATGTGTGTCACAACCTCTAATCCATCCGTACTCGAACATTCATATGTTCCAATTTTCAAAACCGCGTGTAACTTCTCGCTACCAGCACCAAGATTAACCATATTTGGACAAACCTAATAGACCGTAATTCTGGAATGTGTACAAAGTTGCAGCACAAATTTCGCAACTGAGATTGATCATATCGTTAAGATGATCTCAATATTTTCTCAGCAATAAAGGGAGGAAAAGTAAAAATTGAAATGAACACCTCCTCAGAACAAAGTTTGAGTTTAATTTTGTTAACTCACAAACTATTTAATTTCCAGTATTACCATTGAACTGTCAATGATATTCAGAGGAGACCATTTACATTAGTTATTGTTTACCTATCCTTTGCGAATCGTGAGGGAGACCAACAAAAATACTTTTTTGTCTACAGTGTCAAAGTTTCGGTCATTTATTTGTCGTGCTTCATGGCTGTAGGATTATGTTGCAATAATACACATCTGTTTCAGGAGAAATCAACTTTTAGCCGGTAGCACATCATATCACTTGTCAATCCACTAACTTTTATTCCAGGTTATACCGAATCCCCTCTCTGGTACCGCTGAAACTCAGTAAAACCCTATCCATCAGTCCTGAATTAGAAAACAAATACCTTTATTATTCATTCATATTAAAATTCGATGAATTAGAACTTGATATACTGGAAAGAATGATATGAAGATCCAAACGGGAAATCTCTCCAATAAAAAGTTAGTACGAAATCAATACATATGTAAAATTAAAGTTAACAATACATTTGTAAAGTTAACAAATCCGTCAACTAATCATCCAATACCAATACGAAAGGCCACAATGAAGGTTTTTTGTCAGTTGAAACAGTGATGACATTTAACCTATTCTCTGCTCTGAGGAAGATTTTATTTTCTCACCTTACAACGGAAGTAGTAAAGAGAAATTATTGTAATCGCGTTGAGGAAATCAGCTGTTTTTCGACAGAAAAAAATTGATTGTCGAACACTTAACGAAAAAGTGGATAACCCTTGTTCCTATATGCAGTCAATTACATCATTCAACACGCTGTGAAGTAAGAATCCATGTTTATAGGTCTTTGAAATTGAAAAATCGACTGACGTTAAAACGTTTGTTTGTCCGTCTGTCTTTGTGAATGCTAGCGCCTAACCCGTTCAGTCGAATTTCTCTATGTTTGATGTACTCTAATCGATCTGAACAAGATTAAGGTTTTGCGAGTTTGACTTGTATTTATGGATTTGGGGGGGTATGTATATTACATGAACATCAACTATATTATCCCCTAAACAGTGAAGATAGGAGTCGCGATAAGGGCAGAAATTGCATATCTGGACGTTATAGTTCCTATTAGCGTAAATATCCCTGATAAAATCAATCAAATAGTACTTGTACCTGATTATGATACAGTGCTGGCTAAAGAATTTGTACACTATTTCTTGGAAGAAAGTAGTCTTTTCTGCGTTTTAATGGTTTTATTCACATATTTTATAATCTCTAGTTCGTCCACAGATAGATCATACGGTGCTGTCTTGAGGTGCAAGTCTACATACTCGAACAAAAACGTCCTTTCACCAGGGATCACCATACCTTCACTCCCCAAAGTGACTAGCCGAGGGACACGTCAGTGAGCAATGGTGTGCGGTGAGCAAACGCGAGGGAGAACCGCGCCCTCTACCGTCGGAAGTAGCGCGCCTGGGCGTGCTCACCTGGCGCGTGGGCCATGGGTAGCACCGCCGTGCCTTCCATGACCAGCAGCGGCTCCGGCAGCGGCGGCGGGGGCGGCTGGCGCGGCGAGTGCACCTGGTGCGCGGGCGGCGCGGGCGGCGGCACCGACGGCGGCGGCAGCGGCGGCCGCTCCGCCCCCTCGTCCGAGTCCAGGCTCTCCAGCACGATGCTGCAACACACGGGGGACGCCCTGAGGATACATTCGCGAGGAAACATTTAGGATGCACAATGATGCAACACACGGAGGAAGACCTGAGGATACATTCGAGAGGAAACATTTAGGATACACAATGATGCAACACACGGGGGAAGACCTGAGGATACATTCGAGAGGAAACATTTAGGATGCATGATGATGCAACACACGGGGGACAACCTGAGGATACTCGGGGCTGGAACGCGCGAGAGGAAGCATTTAGGATGCACGATGATGCAACACAAGGGGGAAGACCTGAGAATACACGGCGCTGCGTCACGTGATAGGCAATATTTAGGATGCACGATGCTGCAACACACGGGGGACGACCTGAGGATACATTCGAGAGGAAACATTTAGGATGCATGATGCTTCAACACAAGGGGGACGACTTGAGGATACGCGCTGCTGCACTACTATAAATGACACGTTTGCTTGATGATGATGCGTATGGGGGAAGAGTTGCACATATATTCAAGGCGGTATCACGTGAGAGGACACATTTAAGATGCATGATGATGCAATACAATGGGTAAGAGTAACGGGATGCTGCACCACGTGAAAGGAAACACTTAGGATGCATGATGCTAAAACACATGAGGAAGAGCTGAGGATACGCAATACTGTGGCACTTAGGAGGAAATATTCATACCCATACCCATAATAATAAATACCCATAATAATAAATATTTCACTGCTGTATCACATGGGGAAGACGATGCATGACGAAAGAAGAAACGATACATTATTTTGCAACAGCAACTTGAAAGCTTTGCTTGTTTGAGAAAATGCATGATACGAATAAATCATGTCACAGAAATATGAAATGAAGGTCTTGGGGGTAGGAAAACTATAAGCTCCATCAGTCACAGTTAGTCTTCCCCTATTCAACAATAGTATTAGCTTCATTTAGAAGTAACTGTTGCTTTCCTCGATACTACTGCAAGTCTTCCATTTATATGAAATTTTAACAAAACCGGTTACATTTATAAATACATTGACCAAAATCAAGATATTTGCATTAGAAAGAGCGGGAATTTAGGTTTCCTGTACCTGGTGTGGCTTATTTTTACTGGCCCAAGCCCTTCAAACATAAATACGTAAATATGAACATTATTTTTTCGATCTACATTTGATTCCCAGAACCATGGAGAAACCTCATTGAGATTAAATGAAATTTTCAGGCCACGAACATCATTGGCTGTAAACTTCAATAATTACGACATCAAGAGGTTCAAATAGCAATTGGTTTCAGATACACTTCTGGTGTCCCTACCCTTCTCAAATTAGAAGTAAAAGCAAGAAAACATTAAATGTGATCGTAGACTGTAATTTTGTGAGTTAGGGTTTTTTTGCCTTATTTTGGGTTTGTTCGTTCAGTTTTACCTATAACTATTTAATCGGTTAATTTTTTAATCGCAAAATATATAATATCGATGAATAATATGAATGTACAATGGAACCCCCACATACTGTTTGTTTTTAATCTTTCCATTGAAATAAATAGATAAAGATTTAAAAGCTTTCCTGGAAACCTTGTAGGATAGCTAATTTATTTGGTCTCGAATGCCGTAACGAGTAAAGGCATAAAGAATAATGACACAAAACCACACACACACAATACATCTGTAATTATTTCAAACCTTTGAGTTGGAATCTGATGGGCTATAGTTTTTTCTCAAACAGCCAGTGGAGTAGAGTCCCTCTGTGAATGTCTGTAACATTAAATGTATTTTTAATTTCATAATTTAGTAGATCATGATACAAGTCCTTTTTTAGTCCAGAAATAAAAAAAGAGAGATCTTACTAATAGAATTAATCTTGTGACTGCCTAGGTTTAAATACGTGATTAACTGGTACAAAGTAGTATATCTAACTAAAATGATCTTAGATTTTTTCAAATAATATAAAAAGAAACTTTTTTTAATTGTACACTTGTGACGAAAAATCTGAAAGTTCAACTTTTGTGTTATAGATGTATTGTGAGTTACAAGAGATGTGATCACTATTCATAAGACTTAAGAAGTTGGATGGAAGGGCGGTTTACCGTGGTTAAGCAGCTTTAACGATTCTTGGCTTGCGATCTTTAATAGACTTTCATGTGTTTGGATAATTTAATAGTTCAAATAAATGATAGTATAATGCAGGAAAATGCAGAGAAGAAGGGGTTTCATAGAAGTTATTAGCTTATTAAATTGCTTATAAGGTCGCGAAAGTCTTCCATTTCAAATATCCGGGCAAAATGTATTCACTTGTTACATAATTACAATTTGTTTTTGTAGCGTTATCTCAAGAGTTTTAAGTTTGATTTTTCTTGTGTTGAAAAATTCTACAGATAATTATACCACTCCGTATGCGGCAGCTAGGTTCTAGGGAAGAGGTTGCACTCCATCAAATATTTGCTATTCACGAGTTGTGATATGGAACAATAGCTATTTTATAATCTTGGTATGAAAAGAACTGTTGTACTTTGTATGTACTACACTATGTAATTCCAGAACTTGAGAAGACATTTTTGGTAAAATATTTAATTTATTGCAATGTTATACGGAAGTATTTTATTGGTTGTCATTGAGCAATGTGAATGCTACGGAAAACGATTTTGTTGGAGATGTTTAGCAGCAGTTTTGTTACATTGGGCCACTTAATGAATGGCATAGAAGAAACGAATCATGAATATTGCTTTTAAACAAATTCAATTTAGTGTCATCTATTTATGAAAAGTATGCAGGAAAACTCAATAAATTTATTTTATTTTATTAATATATACGTCATGAAACGAGTTCAAAATTTCTCTCCTGATCAAAACATTAAAATAACCTTTATAAATTATGAAATATATGGAAGAAGGTCTGAAGACATACTTTTATCTTTACATCAGGGGTACACTTTCATTAAATATAGTACTTAAAACGCATTTCCAATAAACCTAACAAAATAAATATCTTGAGTGTCAGATTACCTACCGATGAATGAAACACGATATATTAACGTGTGAAAACTGTAAAGCTAATTTGATCGAAAATGTATTTTAGGGGTTAAAGTCGTTCTTCCTTCCAACTCCACAATTGTGTTGAAGCAAATACTATTGGTATTTATGGACAATGATTGAAGAATATTGCATCAGTAATATATAGAAGTCAGCAACTTAACTTACGTAATATTTAAATGCATTTCTCTTTTTGAGATGTTATATAAATACAACTCATTTTCATTCAATTTCACCCACATTTTCATGAATCAAAATGGAGAGATAATAATCAACACATTTATATTTTTTTATTTCTAAACGCAAGCAATACGTTTTATTGTCTTCACGAGTATAATGTATTTTTTCTTTTGACTTTCCTACTGTAATTGAGAGTACTTGTTTCTTGCATCTTTTCACATTTAATCTATGTCAGAGAGCAAAGTTTACTGCCTGAAGTCATAAAGTGATGTTACAGAAAGCTACAGATGAAGTTAATGTCCTACTGCAGTACGCATATTTAATAAAACAAATAATACTTTGCGATGATATTTTACGTGGTGCCACATCATTTCTGGTGTACTTCATAGGAACACGCGACCACTGCGTAGAGTTAATCATTGGTGGTGACATATTTCCTAGGTTTTGACTAAATTGAGATGCAGTCTTTAAAAGGGGATACTGGAGAAAAATTGTGAAAAAATTGGGAAAGTTTATACATTATATTATACACTATATTACATACAATAATTTACTATAAAATACAAATTTTTAAACTTTCTACATACATGTAAACTATACTAATATGTAACTTTATTTATACGAATCAATCTTAAATCATAATTCAGTAGAACGCTGTCGCATTTCTTACCAGCGCCAGTAGGACGCGCAGGAAATATTCTATCCTGGCGCTCAGCCCCTATCAGGCGCCCAGCGTCGCTCACACTGCGATGCGCAGCTCTACGAACGGCTTTGCACTCAGCATCCGTTCGCACGTCGGACAAGAGGGGAGGCAGTCAGTCTGGCGCCTAGCCACGCTCACACGGAGCAGCTCCGCGGCTTAACGATATTTCTCACACCTTTTCGCCCACAAACATTTTCACGCACATACACTTACACTAATTCTAATACACTAATTTCATTGGTTCAAACATCAAGCAATTAAATAATCATTATCACTATTTTGCCGATCCGGTGGCCGAGATCGCTAAGGCAGTAGTGCCGTAGCGATCTCGCACCGAAAGATCGCGGGTTCGAGTCCCGCCTCGGGCATGGTTGTAGTGTGTTCGTCCTTTCACCCCCCATCATCATCATCATCATCATATCAGGGAAGGCATCGGGAAACCACCCTGAATAATTTATCCCAAGAAAACCCGTTATGGGTCACCTAACTTCCGTATATGGAAGATAGGACCAAAGAAGATTTGTATTTTATTATTAGTTCATATTATTTTACTTTATTACCAATTACTAGTCTCAAATCATCCCCATCTAATCTTAAGTATTCTGTAATTACAACCATTCATCAAGTTTTGTATTGTTTTGCATCGAGTCAATTAAATCAGTAAAATTTCATTCTACTTTTCTGAGCTATCTGACCACCTGCTCACCTCCCTGTAACCAGGCCCGCTGGGCAGAAATAGCTGCTCAGGATAATCCAACACTTTTACACACAATTTTCAAATTCGGCAACTGAATGTTTTTCTGTATTAATCGAATGGGACAGAGACGACATTCGATTATTCATTCGCCATTGCATGGTTCATTTATTTTTCCAGCATGCATTTATTTATTTTCCATTTAATCACCATTTATTTATTATTTATTTATTTACACATTTACATTTAATTCACCAGTCACGCACTTTCTTTCACAACAATTGTTGCGATTTTTTTGCAACTCCGTCTTGCTTTGAGCATATTGATTGTATAATTTGAAGCAATCGACCATTATGTTTGTCTTTCGTCTTGTAATGTCGCAGTCAGTTATTGCCTTTTATTCCTTCTTTAAGGGGCCCAATGCCGTTGGGGTTACTCTGGCAGCCAGGAATTCGTCCAGGAATTCATTGTGTCTCGAGTTCACGGCGCGTAGTTAAGCAATTCGGCCAACAACGCCAGCTATATTTACCATTCATTAACTACTTTCACTTAATTGACTGTTAATTAATTAACAGTCTCGTGAACCAATTCGGTTAACGACGCCGACTTTACGTACCATTCATTGATTACTTTCCTTTAATGAACTGTTAATCAATTCGTTCGTTTATGTGCAGGAGCGCGCGCCGCGTAGTACCTACCTGTCGTCGCGTGCGCGTCCGCCCGCGAGCAGCGTGTTGCCGCTGTTGCCGCTGTCGGCGCTGTCGTCGTCGGCGCCGCCGCTGTCGTTGGAGCCCGCGCTGCCGAAGCCCGGGGAGCGCGGGGAGGGCGGCGGCACGGGCGCGACGGGCAGGGGCGGGGCGGGCGCGGCGCCCGGGCGCCGGCGCCGGCCGAGGCGGCGGGAGGCGGCCGCGAGCGCGCGCGCCGGCGGTGGTGGGGCGCCAGCGGGGA